GGTCTCAGTGTTGGAGAACCAGAAAATAAGGACCCTATCCTGTAGACTAATAAATATACAGTCAATCACAGGACAATGTAATAGACACACTCTTCTCCTTTTTTGAGATACAATTCACATACATGAAATTTACCCTTTTAAAGTATATAATCTAGTGGTTTTTAGTATAGTCATAAGATTGTGCAACCATCACCACAATCGAATTCTAAAATATTTCATCACCACATGCTTAAAAAGTACTATCTATCAGCAGTCACTCCCCATTTTCCTTCTCCCCTAATCCCTGGTGATAACTAATATACTTTCCATCTCTATAGATTTGCCTATTCTAGACATCTCATATAAATGGAATCATGTAATATGTGGCCTTCTGCATCTGGCCTAAATCATTTAGCATAATGTTTTTGTTTGTTTGTTTGTTTGTTTGTTTTTGAGACAGAGTTTTGCTTTGGTTGTCCAGACTGTAGTGCAATGGTACAATCTCAGCTCACTGCAACCTCCACCTCCTGGGTTCAAGTTATTCTCCTGCCTCAGCCACCCAAATAGCTGGGACTACAGGCACGCGCCACCATGCCTGGCTAATTTTGTATTTCTAGTAGAGACAGGGTTTTACCATGTTGCCCAGGCTGGTCTCGAACCCCTGACCTCAGTTGATCCACCCACCTCAGCCTCCCAAAGTGCTGAGATTACAGGCGTGAGCCACCACGCCTGGCCAGCATGATGTTTTCAAGGTTCATCCTTGTAGCATGTATCAGTATTTTGCCCCTTTTATGGCTGAATAATATTTCATTGTATGTATAGAGCACAATTTGTTTATCTGTTCCTCAGCTGATAGACATTTGGAGTTATTTCTACTTTTCAGCTGTTATGAATAATGCTGCTATGAACATTTACGTACAAGTCTTTGTATAAACATATGTTTTCAAGTTTCTTGTATATATACCTAGGAGTGGAATTGCTGGCTCATATGGAAACTCTGTGTTTAAGTTTTTGAGGTACTGCCAGACTGGTTTCCAAAGCAGCTGTACCATTTTACATTCACACCAGCAATGTATGTGTTGCAATTTCTCCAAATCCCCACCAATACTTGTTATTGTATGTAATTTTTATTATAGCCATCTTGGTGGGTATAAAGTGGTAGCTCATTCTGGTTGGTTGGTTGGTTAGTTGGTTTTTTTATTTTTGTTTTTATTAAAGACAGGGTTTCTCTAAACTGCCCAGGCTGGAGTGCAGTGACTATTCTCAGATGTAATCCTAGCACATCGCAACCTCGAAATCCTGGCCTCAAGTGATCCTCCTGCCTCAGCCTCCTGAGTAGCTGGGACTATAAGCACTTAACACCATGCCTGGCTTCTTATTGCGGTTTTGATTTGCATTTCTCTAATGATCAATGATGTTGAGTGTCTTTTCATGTACTTATTAGCCATTTGTATATTTTCTCTGAAGATATGCCCATTCAAATCTTTCACCTTTTTAAGCTGGATTATTCATCTTTTGATTGTTAAGTTGTATAATGGGTCTCAGTGGAGAGCATTTATCCAAGTATGAGGGTACAAATGATGAATAAAAGAGTGTTGCTTAGAGAAGGCTTCCTGGAGGAGATAATATCTGAGCCAAAACTAGAAGGATGATTAGGAAGAAGTAGAACCATCATTCTTGTATTCTACAAATATTTATTGAATTTCAACTCTACCCGGCACTGAGACTGGTATAAATTGACTCATTCCTCACTCTCAAGGAGAGGATCGATGATTTCACAGTCCCCACAGGTTCTACAGGACCCCAGCATGGCCCCACTCTGAGTCTTCTTGGTTAGGCTGGGCCTTGGATCTCAAACCTCAGTTTGCTGGTCATCCTTGGGTTTAACCTCATGACCCCATACAGGAAGGTGGGTGGACATTTATCCCCAGTGGTTGTGGTGGAGCTAGCTGACTGATCAGGCCTGTTGCCTGGGCCCCAATTTCAGCAGGACACCCCTTATCTAGGATCAGACTTGGTGTTTCCTGATTCCTTCCCCACTTTTCTGAGCCAAATCATCTAATGAGGCCTCTCAAGAAGCAAGTGGGTTTCTAAACATACAGGGCATCAACAGAGGCTTCACCCATCAAAGCAACACTATGACAGCAGAAAAGGCCTGTTTTTTATGGAATAGGCAACTCCAATATATTACAATTTTTTTTTTTTTTTTTTTTTTTTAGAGTCTCACTCTGTCAGCAGGCGTCAGGCTGGAGTGCAGTGGTGGGATCTCGGCTCACTGCATCTTGCCTCCTGGGTTCAAGCAATTCTCCTGCCTCAGCCTCCCAAGTAGCTGGGACTACAGGCATGTGCCACCATGCCCAGCTACTGTTTGTTTTTAGTAGAGATGGGGTTTCACCATGTTGGCCAGGATAGTCTCGATCTCTTGACCTCGTGATCTACCCTCCTCAGCCTCCCAAAGTGCTGGGAATTACAGGCGTGAGCCACCACGCCCGGCTATATTACAATTTTTTTAAGTAGGTTATAGAACAGCATGAATCACGTGATCTTATTTTTTCAATAATTCTGCATGGAAAGAAATTTGAATGTATAAATAAAATTTAATAGAGATGAGGGGCCAGGTATGGTGGCTTATACCTGTAATCCTAGCATTCTGGGAGGCTGAGGCTGGAGGATCACTTAAAGCCAGGAGTTCAAGACCAGCCTGACAACATAGCAAGACTTCTTGCCTACAAAAAAAAAAAAAAATTAGCCAGGCATAGTTGCACAAGCCTGTAGTCCCAGCTCTTTGCAGGCTGAGTGGGAGGATTGCTTGCACCCAGGAGTTCAAGGCTACAGTGAGCTATGATCGCACCACTGCACTCCAGCCTGAGCAACACAATGAAACTCTGTTTCTAAAAATATATATAATAGAGGCCAGGTGCAGTGGCTCACACCTATAAGCTCAGTATTTCAGGAGGCCGAGTCAGCAGATTGCCTGAGCTCAGGAGTTCGAGACCAGCCTGGCCAACATGATGAAACCCCATCTCTACTAAAAATACAAAAATTAGCTGGCTGTGGTGGTGCATGCCTGTAATCACAGCTATTTGGGAGGCTGAGGCACCAGAATCACTTGAACCTGGGAGGCAGAGGTTGCAGTGAACTGAGATCACGCCACTGCTCTTCAGACTGGTGACAGAGCGAGATGCTGTCTCCAAAAATAAAAATAAATAAATAAAACATAATAGAGATGACAATTTATTTTTGCTTATCGGTACTTTTAAAATTTTTTGCAATGATCATATCTTGCTAGTATAACATTTAAGGAAAAATAAACTTAGTGGCACAAAAATGATAGGATTTTAAAAATATTACTCTATATTTTGTGTGTTGTAAATGTGAATTAATAGTATACAGGTATTGATTGACTTATGACCTATGCAACTTACGACCATTCAACTTTACGACCACAATCGCTAGCCACGACTGCTCCGCGTCTGGCAGCGCAAACGTTGCCCAGCTGGGCGTACGACAGTGCGGACCAGCTTCTGGCAGCACTACCATCTCCGTGTGCATATAGCCTACTCAACTTACGACCAAATTGTGTTACGACCAGTCTGTTGGAACCAATCGTGGTCGTAAGTCGAGCACTAGCTCTAATACATTTGTGATTTGCTCTCTTGCAAAGTTAATAATCATGTTATTTGCTAATTACGTTGCCTAATACAGATGATGGTTTAGAAACAGAGGTTAGTGTTATATACAAAACATAAAACCTTTGCTTCTTGCAAATATTGGCTGTCCAGACCTCGTAGTCTTAGCCACCAAATCTTGGCATTTACCAGCCTCTGGAAGCATAAAACCCTGAGTGAGGGAGTTCTCCTGGCCTGGTCTACAGAAGCTTAGACAAGAATTGCCACAGAAGCATCAAAACAATAGAATGTGATGTCGTGGGCATCCCAGGGGGAAATAATGCTAGATTGAAATGAATTTTTGCATCACTGATTTTCCCTGCTGATTGAGCCCTGTTTATCTCATTTGGCAGATCAGCCTCAAAGTGCATGAACTATTTGTGCCTCATTAGTTTCCAATAGATTGATTTTGCTAGGATTGCGAATTGGCCATCTTGAATTGCAGCCTGCAGAAGCCGGCTCTGGCTCAGCCTCAGGGGCACAGACACTCAGAATAACAGCAGCCACTGCAGCCACTGCAGCCACCACCACTGAAAAAGAACCTGGAGAGGTGTTCTAAGGCCACAAGGACAACAGTGCCTTAAATCTTCTCTGGTACCAGGCAGCATAAAATATGGACTTCTAAGAAAGCAAGCGGGGTCACCTCTGCGTTCTTTTCTTTTTCTCATGTATTCTCCTTGGCATCTCATCTTTCTTCCAGTCCCTTCCCCTCTCTCATCTTAGCCCTCGTCTTCAAAAGTTAAAAAAATAAGAACAGTTTTAAGAGAAAAACATAAACAATTTGGAGACTAGCTTATAAAACAGTGAAAGCTGAACTACTTACAATATAGTGATTAGAAAGAAAAACAGAATATAAAACAACATACAGTACAGTGACATTGCTTCATAAAAAGTATACATAGAAAAAAGGATTAAATAGAAAAAAAAGCATGCCAAGTATAGACAGCAGTAACTTTGGGTAGTGGGGATATGGATGATGATGATTTTTTTCTTTTTTTTTTTTTGCTGGGTAGCTACTATGTGCAATTTATTCACAATTTAACATATGACTGCCTACTATACTCCAGGCATTATACAAAGTTCTGAGTTCTTAAGAGTTCATATAAAGCAGTAGACTGTGCTATGAGAGCCAGTAATGAGGGTCCTAGGTCAGAGGGGAAAGCAAGACTTCCAGAGGATGTGCTATCCAAGACAAGGCCTGAAGATAAACAGGACTGGCCAGGTAAGGAGGGGAAGAGGGATGCCGGCAGAGAAGAGAGCATGTATGAAGATGACTCATAGGCAAAACTACTCTTCTGGGTGCTTTACATACAGATTCTTAGTGATCATCAATCCAGACCAAGTCTATTCCTCTCCTTTGTGGCTGTTATTCTTTCCGATTTATTTAGATTTTATTTTTTGGTGAAAATGGGCCTCTAGTAAGTGCCCAGTCACAGGTGACAGCCAACATCAGCCCAAACAGAGTTTTAAAATGGGAATAGAGCCTGTTTGAAAAGGAGGCTCCTAAGATGAGGAGCAGGTGGGATGAAGTCTGCCAATGGCCTCAGTCCCTTGGCGACATCAAGTCAAAGCAAATGCCTGAGTAAAGGCCCTTTGCCAGCAGCAAATCTTTTCTGAGAGCCACCCATGCCAGAAGGCCCAGAGCAGAGGGAGGAAGAGAATGAACAAGTCTGAGTGTTCCACTGGAAGACTGAGCCTCACAAGGACAGCCTTCTGTCAGCATGGTCACAGCCTACTGTGTGGATGGAGGAGGGAGAGAGGTGCCAATGTGCCACCCATGGGATCCACCAGAAACTGGGCTCTGGAGTATTGCTGGCCCCCAGTAGACTTTCATCCAAGGAGTTCTTTGGTCTTCACTGCCAGATGCCTCTCCAGCTCTGCCACTGTGTCATCAGCCATTTGGCTGATCTGTTTCTCTATTAGCCTAATGGTGTCCTCCGAGACTGTATCCTTTGACTTCTTCGGCTTGTTCATTGCATTGGTGCGAACCTTCCGTAGTCTCTGGCCTTGTTGGTGTTCTGTTTGGCCAGTTTCACCAGCATTTCTCTGTGCTCTCTGGTTACTTGGGGAATGGGTACCCGAATTAGTGTCCCTTCCACCTCTGGGTTCAGATTCATTCCACTTCCTCTTATAGCCTTGATAGCTGCAGCTGTACAGTCTGGAAAGCTGGCCATATTCACCAAAATCAACTGTGGTGCCCCCATGGAGATCTGGCTAATCTGGTTGAAAGCAAGCTTCCCATCAGCAGTTACCACAGCAATCTGGTCAAGGGATCCTGGTGAGATCCTTATATTGAGAGTCTTATTGAAATTATCCTTGAGTGCTTCTATCACAGACTTCATGTCCTCATTCACCTCTTCCAAGTTGATTATATCCTCAACCAAGGCAGTGTTAATATTCACTCTGGTTTGGGATTGTCCTTTCCCTTTGGCTTTGGCTTTCTTGGTAGCAAAATGGCGGACTGGTACAGCTGGATAGGCCACGTATTGCCTATGGCCATGCTGTCTTTCATGCACTGTCTTCGGTGTAACTTCCGAAACAGGTCTGATTGAGGCAGCAAGGTAATTTCGAAAGGCAGGGTGGACCATGCGGAAGCACTTTAATCCCAAGACTCCCAAGGCCATGACTGAAGACGATCCTTAGAAACATCCACATATTGGCCATCCTGGTCTCGAACTCCTGATCTCAGGTGATCCACCGGCCTCAGCTTCCCGAAGTGCTGGGATTACAGGTGTGAGCCCTTGTACCTGACCAGCTATTGCCCAGGTTACTAGGAAAGACTCGTGCGACGGCAGCGACCGCAGCTGCGCGGGCGTCGTGACGTCACCGATGATGATTTTTTTCTTTAAACGTTTCTGCATTTTCAAAACTGTCTAAAATGATTAACAGCACACTTATCCTCAGAAAATTTTAGCAAAATACATAAAGTAATAAAATAGCACATATGTAATCAATTTAAAGCCCCGTTCTTTTAATTCACTAAGGTGTATTAGCCTCTACGAGATACTTGCTGGTTTGGTAATTAAAATGTTAAGGGTAAATCTGACTTTAGGCACAATTGGATCCAGCAATCCAAGAGCCATCATCAGAGTTCTCTCCTTTCAGTTCTAACCATTTTTCTTTGGGTGTTGACCACATCCTCTCCTACTGCAAACCAGGCCACTTCCACATTTTTCCACTTGTAGGGGAACTTGGGGGTCTCAGATTGACAGTTTTCCACTTGTGGGAATCCAGAGGTGAGAGGTCTTTCCCCACTAGCTTCAGTTGGACAAATACTGGGAAAAGACAGGGGTTGGATGAGTTGGGGTCATGGACCATGATGAGTCATCCCTGGAATAATCAATGTGACAAGGGGATTGGGTACTATGAATGTCTGGTCCAGGTCACACGTCTTAGTGGGGAGTGGACATGGAGGAGGGGAGGGGATGGATAAAGCACAAAAGCACCCAAACAAAAATGTCCCTAAGACAGAATAGTCTCCCCTGCAAGGATTGTATGATCTAGTTAGAAAACTAAGACAAGCATAGAAAAGGATAAAGCAAAAACAAGAGATAAACAATAAGTTTATTTAAACATGGCACAAGACAGAACATGATTAGCTTCCCAACAATAGCACAGACAGTAAGTCCTAGGCCAGGAATTCAGGAGTGGGATAACCTGAGCAAACTTGATAGAAGGAAGGAAGGTGAGCTGGGTTCTGAAAGATGGGAAGGTTTGAAGAACCAATGAAAATGGCAACATTAGCTCAAACTAAGAGAATGGCCTGGGCATAGCCACAGAGATGGCCCAGTGAAAGATGTGTGAGAACAGAACACAGGGTTAGACATGTGAATAATTTTAGTCACATGCTAAAGATATTAACTGGGGATGGAGTGCAGTGGCTTTGAAAGCTAAGCTCATGACTGAATTTACGTGGTAGCCACTGAGGAGTCACCAAGGCTTTTAAACAGGGAACTGGTGTAATTCCCTGTTTAAAAACCTTGGTGACTCCTTGTGTACCACCCAATCCTAGGTGATACATTAGGACAACCTGCCTGGTGGCAGGACCAGGAGGAAATGGAGCTGAGAAAGATCAGGGCAGAACAACCAGTTGAGACGTTCTGTAATAGTCCACGTGTGAGGTAATAAGGGCTGGAACAAGGGAGGTGACTATGAGGAATGGAAAGGAAGAGACATTTCATTCATTGACTCATTCATTCATCCAACAAGCATTTGTTAATCACTGACAACCAGGAACTAACTGTACTAGATTGGGCACTAAGTTCATCAACGAAGGTGTGACAAGATTTGCCTTCTGCTGGAATACCAGATCCTAGGCAGAAGTTGACCAAAGATATATGTTGCTGTTAAGAGAAATAGGAAAGTCAGGAGAAAGAACTAGTCTGGGCATCTAAGAACAAATAATTCTGAATCTAGTTTGATGGCACAGCAGGGAAGGCAGACGGAACTATCCAGCAGGCAGGAGAAAATCTAAGACTTGACCTGGAGAGGGAGGTCAAGGCAGAAAGTGGAGATGTGGGTACATCTGTGCACAGGGGAGCGTCACATTCACGGGAGGACTGTGACTTGGAAAGGTCTGAGCCAGCCTGACTGAGCTTCATGCCGAGCTCAGAGCAGGGAGAGAAATTGAGATCTCTTTGCCTGCCCGCTCTGCATTAGGTGCAATATCAACCTGATACAAACTTGTGCCGCTTTCCTGTGATTCCTGACACAATGGCCCCATCAGCAGCACACATGTTGAGATTATTTTTCAGAAGCTGATTACTTAAAACCTCCAATCCGACTCCTCTTTCACCTCTGGATTGAATAGTGCTCTTCTCCCTCTGTCCCAGCTAGAAAAGGGTATGCTGCAACCAGATGGTAAACTGTGGACAGAAATAAACCCTGTTCACATGTAGCAAGAATATTTATATCCAATCCCATAATATCACTGCAGGCATAATTATAGCCAATCCTGCAATTGTGCTGCGGGTATCAGGCATCTGAAAAACCAACCAATGTGCCACAGAGAGACCAGGGAGATATGGGAGCTGCAGAGGCAGCTGCTGCCCCTGAGAGACCCCTGAGCAGAAGCAGGGTGGGGTTATTTACAGATTATGGAAGGGCTCTGTCAATGGAGGTGGAGAGGGATGTGATAATTTCGCGGATTACATAGCTCAAACTCCAGTTTCAGTAGTACTGCATGCTTTTATTTGTAACTTTTAAAAAATTATAAAAATCAATGCTTATTTATTATACAAGGTTTAGGAAATATGGGAAAGGGACTATAATCTCACAATCCAAAAATAGTATTGTTGCTGGTGTGGTGGCTTATTTATGCCTGTAACCCCGGCACTCTGAGAGCCCAAGGTGGAAGGATGGCTTGATGCCAGGTATTTAAGACCAGCCCAGGCAACATAGTGAGACCCTGTCTCTACAAAAATAAATCTATTAGCCAGGAATGGTGACATGCACTTGCAGCCTTAGCTACTCAAGAGGCTAAGTTGGGAGGATCCCTTCAGCCCACGAATTCAAGGCTTGAGTGAGCCATGATAGCACCCTGCACTGTAGCCTGGGCAACAAGGCGAGACCCTCTATAAAAAAAAAAAGGCGGGGAGTGGGGCGGGCACAGTGCCTCACACCTATAATCCTAGCGCTTTGGGAGGCCTAGGTGGGTGGATAATCTGAGGTCAGGAGTTCAAAACCAGCCTGACCAACATGGCAAAACCTCGTCTCTACTAAAAATATCAAAAAACTAGCCTAGTGGTGGCACATGCCTGTACTCCCTGCTACTCTGGAGGCAGGAGAATCGCTTGAATCGGGGAGGCAGAGGTTGCAGTGAGCCGAGATTGTGCCATTGCACTCCAGCCTGGGCAACAAGAGTGAAGCTCTGTCTTAAAAAACAAAGCATTGCTTGCTAACATTTTAACATTTGTTGTTACAGTATTTTACTTTGCATATATGTGTTTTGAGTCATGTTATAAATAACATTCTACATCTCGTTTATTTCATTTAATATCATATTTCCTCATATCATTAAGATATATTCCAAAACATTATTTTACTGTGGTATTTCAGGTAGAAGTAGGGGAAAAAAACCCACAGAACAATATTTTGAAACCTTTTACTGTAGTATTTTTATGAAATGGAATACCATACCGCCTTTAAAATGAATAAACTAGAGCTTCACATATCAACACAAATAATTTAATTGTTAATATAAGGTTAATAAAAAAAGGAATTTGCAGAGCCAGGCATTAATATATAATTCAGTGCCATTTTTGAGAAGTTAAAAGCTCTAAGGCCAGAAGCAGTGGCTTACACCCACAGCACTTTTCAATGCCAAGGCCTGTGGATTGCTTGAGCCCAGGAATTTGAGATCAGTCTGGAGAAACTGGGGAAACATGGAGAAACTCTGCCTTTACAAAAATAGAAAAATTAGTTGGTATAATCCCAGCTACTCCAGAGGCTGAGGTGGGAGGATTGCTTTAGCCTGAGAGACAGAGGCTGCAGTGAGCCATGATCATGCCACTGTACTCCAGCCTGGACAGCAGGGCAACTCTGTCTCAAAAAAAAAATCTGAAACAATATTATACCTTGTTTATGTTGACTTACATATAAAAAGTATAGAAAATGTATGGAAAGACTTTTCTCCAGGGAAGGAGGAAAAAGGTTGAAATTAAGGAGGGGCATAAAGGAGCTTTGATTTCTTCTGTAATTTGGCTTTTGTTTTTTGGGTTTTTTTGAAACAAGGTCTGGCTCTGTCTCCCAGGTTGGAGTGCAGTGGCACGATCTCAGCTTACTGTAACTTCCGCCTTCCAGTCTCAAGCCATCCTCCCACCTCTGCTTCCTGAGTAGCTGGATTACAGGCATGCACCACCACGCCAGGCTAATCTTTGTATTTTTTGTAGAGACAGGGTTCCACCATGTTGCCCAGGCTAGTTTCAAACTCCCAAGCTCAAGAGATCCCCAACCCTGGGCTCCTAAAGTGCAGGGATGGCAGGCGTGAGCCACCACACCCAGCTTATGTCTTTTAAAAATATTTAAAACAAATATAGCAAAATCTTAAAACATATTAAATCTGTGATGAATAAATGTGTGTTCTTTATAGGCTGTATTTTTCTGCATGTTTGAAATATAGACGACATTATTATTTTTTAAATTAGTAGTATTCATTTTTTTAGAGAAGTTTTAGGTTTACAGAAAAGTCGAGCAGAAAGTACAAGGAGTTTCTTCTTAAATTCCCACCCCACAGTTTCCTCTGTTATTACCATCTTGCATTACTGTGGGTCATTTGTTACAACTCATGAGCCAATATTGATACCTTATTATTAGCTAAAGTCCACAGCTTTCCTTAGGGTTCACTCTGTGGTATACATTCTATGGGTTTTGACAATGTTTAATGACATAGATCCGACATAGGAGTGTCATACAGAGTAGCTTCACTGCCCCAAAAATTCTCCGTGCTCCACCTAGTCATCCCTCCCTCCAGCCAAACACCTGGAAACCACTGATCTTTCCACTGTCTCCAGCTTGCCTTTTCTAGAAAGTCATATACTTGGAATCATACAGTGTGTCTTTTCAGATAGGCTCCTGAATAATTTATTTTTTAAATCAAAAATTTAAAGCCAGCCACAATGAAGTAAGCAAAAATCATCAGAAACTTCACTATTTCAGGATAATCACTAATTAACCATATACACAATTTATTTTTTTCGTGTACATGGGACAGTAGTGTACAAAATATTGCATTACCTTTTGTTTTCCTGCTTCACAACATAGAATGAAACTATATAATTCAGGATTTTTCTTTCCTTTTTTTTTTTTTTTTT